GGTCGGGCCCCGCCGCCTTCCGCCTGACGGAGAAGTTCGTGCTGCTGCTGGTGTTCAGCGCCTTCATCACGCTGTGCTTCGGAGCGATCTTCTTCCTGCCAGACTCCTCCAAGCTGCTCAGCGGGGTCCTGTTCCACTCCAACCCCGCCTTGCAGCCGGCCGCCGACCACAAGCTCGGGTCCGGGGCGCGCGCCGAGGACGCGGCGGAGGGGCGAGCCCGGCGCCGCGAGGAGGGTGCGCCTGGGGACCTGGCGGCCGCCCTGGAGGACAACTTGGCCAGGATCCGCGAAAACCACGAGCGGGCTCTCAGGGAAGCCAAGGAGACCTTGCAGAAGCTGCCCGAGGAGATCCAAAGAGACATCCTGCTGGAGAAGGAGAAGGTGGCCCAGGACCAACTGCGTGACAAGGCGCCATTCAGGGGGCTGCCCCGGGTGGAGTTCGTGCCCCCAATCGGGGTGGAGAACAGGGAGCCGGCGGACCCTGCCATCTGCGAGAAGAGGGCAAAGATCAAAGAGGTGAGTGCACTGTGCCAAAAATCCCTCCCAACAGCCCCAGTTTTCCAGAGAGGCAAACCCTTGGAACTCTTGACTGTAGGGGGAGATGCAGGTTTTCCCCTTCTACCAGGTACTATGTCAAAGGCTCTTTCATTTCCCTTTTTCTCAGAATCGTAGTAGATGGGCCAATCAAGATCTGAGGTTGAATCTCATTGCTTTTTGGCAAGCTCAGGTGAGCATAAGCCATAGGAGGCAGGTATAAATACATGGGCAGGTGATTTATAAACCTCCTTCACTGCCACTACACAGTTAATGGTCGCTTAATCGTACCTGAGAACAGTGACAGTGAAGGTAATAAATAGCTTCCCTAAAAAGGCTTAAAGGGGGCTTTAAAATGAAGCTTGGATGTGAATGCAAAGCATCAATCACGTGTGATAAAAAGATTCTAACAGCAAGCCAGCACACCCCGCCTTCAGTCATGTGGCCCCATTCTGCCAGGTGGCCTTCTGAGTGTACCTGCAGCCTGGAAAGGTGAAACTTGAGAACTCCCCATCAGAAGGGGCATACTATTTACTTATAAAAAAAAAATAAGAAAGAAAGAAAATGTAAAAAGCCAGTCTACTGCCTCTTACATTTCAAGCGCACAGTCAGAAAAAGGATATTGCATGTGATGCAACAGGTTTTGCCTCCAGTAGCAGCTCAGTGATGACATACTTAATCTAAGACAAACAGGGAATGTGATAAGTCTTTTGTAATTTCTTCCTCATAATTTTCAGTTAGAACTTGTAAAATGTAATTAGTTCATGACTAGCTGAAAACTGGAGGGGATCTTAAAAATCACCAACTCGTCATTTTAAAGATGAAGTCCAAGGGCTCAACACTCCAGAGAACCAGTTAGTGACCAAGCCAGATCATGAAGTCCAAAGGCAGGACTTCCTCCCACTCACCTGTCACCAAGTTCTCTGAGGTCGTGCCTTTTTCTAGAACTAGAGGAGTCCTACTCAAGACACATTGTCCCGTGTTTTGATTGTTTTCTAAAGTACACTATGAATGAAAGTGATAGTTTTCCATTTACAAAGGTAATGCACAGAGTCTCTGTGAAAATAAGTTCTGTGTCTTGATATTGGGATCAGGAAAGGGAGCTCCCTGATCCCACTTTTCAGACACTAATCACAATTTTGAGGTGATGAGGCATTTGTCTTCAGTGGTTGCAGAACCAACAGCTCGATTGTCATAGGATTTGTGACCTTAGTGTAAGACCAGATGCATTTTGCTAAACTGAAATTTAGCAAGTTAAAGTGGATTTGGGTCCCTTTCAATTTACTCTGGGGGAGGGATGCCTTCATCCCTCCTGTGCAGATAGATAGCTTCCTCCGCAGTTCATCAGCTTTTCTACTTCTTTAAGACCCCTCTTCAGGCATAGACCTCTCCCAAACAGGGGAGAATGGATTCTACTCCTCTAGATAACTTCTTTAGCAGTCTCCTTTCTCCATGATATCCTGTCAGTACAACCAACCAGGAAAGTGGAACAAAGCTCTACCTCTTAGCAAACATCCTCTCATTCTGCTCTCACGGAGTCCTTAAAAATAGCCAAGCAAAGCCATCAGAAATTAGCGCCAAGGATCTGTATTTGTGTTTCCCTTAAATGTGGAGAGTGTAATCCACCCATGTCAAGACTCTAAGTTCGTGGGAACTGCCAGTTGGTACAGATCACAGCTGTCCAAGGACAAGAGTGTAAGTACTACAGATGTATAGGTGTTCAAAAGCAGTTGGTCCTGACAGATAGTGATTCCAAGTGCATTGAGAGCACAAATGGTTGAAAGAGGCAATCAATTCAGGGCAGCAAATTAACAGCATGCATATCTATTCCTATTAGATCCATGCTATCGCTGTCTCTAAACCAAAAGGTTTTAATTAACAGCATAAAGAAATTTATGTAGCCTCTGTGTAAGTGTAGGTGCTAAAATATTAGATGTTTTGAAATGGCCCAATCTTGCATAAAGTGGTAAACGAGATGTGGTTTTTAAAATTCCACGTTGCTGTGAGAACCCAAAAGAGCCAGCATCATTAGCTGCAGTATTTAGTCAAAAGCAAACAGGAAGAAATAGATTATAAATTGATTGTAGTTCTTCATCTTATTGGTTCAGGCAGATGTATTTCTCTATAAACCAAAAAAAAAAAAAAAAGTAACTCATGCTCTTCTAAAATTATACTGTAATGTTTGGTTTCAGAGAGGAAAGAATTGTTGCTTACATGAATAGTTCACTGGACTTTATACATTTAGATTCAGTTTCAGGTACCACTGAGGACTCCTTGTCATGGGCCAGTGGATCTTTGCCTTGGTTTTTGTTCTTTATGGTTCATATATTTTCTAGTTCTCTTTACGCTTAGATTGTCTATCATACTTGAGTGCACTTATAGTTAAAATTGAGAAGATACAGGCAAGTCTAACATGTTAGGAACTTGGACTGTAACTTGAGTCAAACTCTAATGTTGTAAATTTGGTCTAAAGGCAGTCGATATTATTTTTAATATTGCTGACACAATTTTGTTACTGGTACTGCAGTAAATTTTAACAAATTTGTGTTTTAGAGAGGTAGTCTTAATTTCAAATAGGACATTGCCCAGCACCCTACACAAAATGTTATCAAATGCTTTATACTAACAATTTGATCGATAGTAAATCTCTGATAGAGAATTTTAAATTAAAATTAGAATTTTCCTCCCTCCACTTCTGTAAAAACATGTAAGTTAACCTTGTAAATAAATTAACTCTACACATTCCTAGAAAGTGATAATGTATACATAGTGCATATTTATTTTCATGGACTTGGTCTTTATTTTTTGTTTGTTTGTTTGTTTTTAGCTGCCATAGGGCATATGCACTTGCCAGAGAGAGAAAAAAATGACAAAGCACATCCCAGTTTGATTTTCTTAAAATTGTACTTAAGCTGTCATTAACTTTAAAAAGCAATATTTGGGCCCAGGCAGCCACATGATGGTTGAGGTGGCTGGATCCCACAGGGCTGACTGCACAGTTTGAGTCTCAAGTCAGCAGCTTGAAAAACATGTCAGGTGCCTGTGTGTGTGGACAAAATCCTGAAAAGAGGGAGGAATGGAAAAGGGATTACCCTGTGAACATGCCCCATTGGGGGAGCTTTCTCACTTTCTCTCTCTCTATGTGCCTCTCTCTGGTGAGTGCACATGCCCTCTGGTGAATTAGAAAAATGGGGTACAGAGTTAAAATAAGTCCATGGAATTTTTTAGAAAGAAGAATCCATTTCCTCCCTTACTTTACCCCTTTTTGAAAATTGAGAATATTATAGCTTTTAAAAAAAAGCCTACACATCCTACCTGTACTGTCCTTAGGAGAGTGTCCTAATCCAGTTTGGAGGGTGAACAATTTTATTTTCCATTTCCTGGAACTAAAGAGAATCCTGAGTAACCGGGGCTGAAGATAGTTAAATAGTCAGCGAGGATCCTCTTTCCCACTGGATTCTCCAGCAACCTAGGTGGGTTGGGAGTGTGTGCAAGTTGGCAAACCTGGGTCTTATCATGGATGGCTTTAAGACTTAGCTGTGGGATCACAGTCATCTCTGTCAGTTCCACAGAATATGGCTTTCTTTTTTTATTCCAAACTGATTTGCATAATAAATGTAAAGAACATTTTCATATTGATGGCTAATAGTTAAAGTATATCTTTAATATATAGTATGTTAACTTTAGGTATGTAGTCTTGAGTACTTTGAAACTTAACTCTCTCATTCATTTGTATGGGTAATTTGGGCATGAAGAATAATATTTACAAAATAATAAAGCCATAATGTGAAGACCTGACCCTAGAAGCTTAAATACCACTGAGTTGTTTGCTAGTCTGCAAGTCTTCCCCTCTTAACTCACCCTGTGCACTCTTTATACGAATATAGGCCAGGAGATGGCCCACTCCACCAAGGGGTCCTTCCCCAGAGCAGAGAGGGCATGGAACGTTTGCGCAGGCTTCTCTCTTTAACAAATAGATGGGTAAATTAATATTTCAGCAGTGTAAGTACTGAAGTAGATGCTGACTGTCGAACAGTAATATACAAAAGCAAGAAAAGATTGTTAATGGATAGTTAATTATATTCAGCTTAATTTTCTGTCAGCTATTGAAAATTTCTCCAAGAGGAATATTTTGTCATTTTCTTATCAGGCAACTAAGACTCATTAAAAGAGTTGTATATAGGACTTAGAACCTAGTTAAGGATGTGAAGAAAGGTTTAAAAGCTGCATTTTGCATTTTTGAATCAGTGCTTTTATCTGTATTTCTTAGGTGAGCTAATAAAATAAACTGAACCATCTTGAGAAATTTATCCTAGTATTTCACATGTGTAAAAAGTGCCTTTATATGAGAAGTTTTATTGTAGAACTTATACATTTGAATTAGATTATTCTAAAAGTTACGATAGTACAAGTTACATCATTTATTTCATAGGGTATGGTAGTACAAATTTTTTATTAGTGAGAATTTTATGCATCTGTCTCCAGGTCAGAGGGAAGAAATACCCAAGTATCTATGTGAGGCACGGGGGATAAGTGTACAAGGTAGATCAGATAGGTCAGAATTGCATAGCACTGCTTATGTCCCCTAGCCCAGAACACCTGTGGCCTTTTAATTTCTTTATAGCTTACAAAATCATAAATATATATGTGTTTGTCCACGATGAGTTTTGATTGATCAAAATAGGAGCAGCTACTCTGGGCTCCAGAGATACTGTGAAATAATGGGAACAAAATAGCTCTCTAAGTAGATGACAATGATAACAGAGAAACCTATGACTGACAGTTTACAGCAGAAATTCCTTATTTGAGGAAAGTAGTGGGTCACTGGAAAAGTCATGATGTATTTTCCTATGTTTTTCTATGCAAAAATGTGTCATGACTTTTCCAATGATCCAATAAATCCCCAAATTTCCCCCAGAGTTCTTAACCTAGTGCCTTACTTGGCATTCAGTAATTGAACTACCTCTAATTCTCCGTCCTCT